CCCAAAATCTCTGTAAATGTTTATGAAAATTAATAAAATATAATTATAGAAAAAAAAATAATCAAGGAGCCTAAAGAAGAATCTTAATCAAAAGGGGTAAAATGCAGATCAAAATGTCAAATTCTCCTAGAACTTGGGTGTTCTAAGGCAATGAAGGCTGCACGAACCCTTGAAACTTAAGCCTAAAACCTCACACCAAACATAACCTTCTATGTTTTCTTAAAACTACAGTTTAACTTAAATGCTATTCATTGCCATCAAGTCAGAACCAACACATGGCTGACCCTCCAGCAGGTTACGAGAGGCTATAAACTGCAAAGGAAGAGACAGCGTACCCTTTTCGCTATTGGCCGCTGATGGATTCTAACTGCTTGGCAGCTGGGCTGGTAGTACGACTCCTTACCTACTATGTCGTCAGGGTTCCTAACTAGCATATGTATAAATGGAGAAATTTGAAGGGTAAATATTAATTCTATGAAAATATTTATATGAAACATTTAATACACAGTGGCAAAGTGTGAGAAGTATCCACAGGGTGGCAAACTACTTTATGGCCACTGTTCATTGAGGGTTTATAAACTACCTGACCTTTTGGGGAAAACAAATGCAAAAATGCAGCAGAGTAATAAAGACATTTAATGCTAAAGAAGTTAGAAATTTTAACATTAAAAATGTCTTATTTTAAAATTATGTAATCATTAGAATCTTTTTATTTTGAAGGATAACTTCCTTTTTCTAAATTAAGGAAAAGTAACAGTTAACAAATCAAATGTAAAAGTCAGTAGTCTGTGGAACCACATCACCAATAGCATAAACAAAGGGGGGAAAAAAAGGTGCTTACTTTGAAAGAGCACACTAGCTTTTTAAAATTAGGTGAAATATCATTTTTTAACCATTGTTTGAGTAAGGTGATTACAAACACGTTTTAGTTTTTTTAATTTGGAAGTTTTAACTGTAATTAATTCTACAGTAATACATTTTTTTTTTTTTACAGTAATACATTTTAAAACAGTAGTGAAATGGATGATTTTGGGGGATGGTTATAGATTCTGAAACAGACATAAAATCCCTGGGATTAAAAAAAGAAAGGCTCAGGACTCAAATATTATAAATGTATAGATAATTATAGTCCTTGATTTTATAATGAGAACTGAGATATATATATATATATAGCTAGAAAATGACAGTACAAAAGTAAAAATCAATATAAATATAAAAATATATAAAAATAAATATAAATGCAATGTAAGCAAATTCTACTAGTTTATAAAATGTAAGAATATTTTTTAAAAAGACAATTACCTACCGGAAAGTAGGTATATCCCAGGGATGTAATACTGATTAAAAAAATACATACATACATGTATTTTTTTGTGTGTGGGGGGGAAAGATCAGGAGTTGAATAAAACAGTAGTGGTTCCTCATGCTGATTGCCTAGGTTCGTCTTCAACTATTAATATATTACCAAAAGCAAGAACAGGTACAATAAACTCAGAGTTCATCAGTTTTTACATGCACTCATTTTTTGCATGTGTTTGTGTAAAGTTCTATGGCATTTTACCACATGCAGATTTGTGAGCTACCACCATAAAGAATTAAGATGAAGAAATATTCCATCACCAAAAGGAACGCCTTCGTGCTTTTAAAATAAACTTAATTAGTTGCTGTTATATATGATTGAGTAGGAACTGCCTCATAACTGACTCTCCAGCAGGTTTTCAGAGGTAGGAAATTACATAAGAGACTGCCTGTATTTTTCCTATGGAAGCAGCTGGTGGATTTGAACCATGTTCTTTTGTGTTAGCAATAAAACTTATTCTCACTAAGACACCAGAGCTCCTAATTATACATTACATACTGAAAATGTTTCCCCCATTAACAAATATGGGATATAGCTTTCCTATTCAATTAACTTACCTACTTGTTTCTTGCTTTCATTTCTAAGTTGCTCATTTTCTGGCCTTGGAACTTTATGCACTTCAACTATAGGAGACAGAAAAATGACAAGTTAATTCAAGATAGAATAAAAAAATGATAAGTACAGACATGTGTAAAACCCTCCAAGGGGGGGGGGGAATGTGTCCAATTCTCATAAATATCTAACCCCACCACCACCACGGAGTCAAATTCAAAAGACTGAACATTCTATAAAGTTCAGCTTAAACTTCCTATGATTGCTGAAAAAAAAGTAAATCTTTATATGAATTTAAGTAAATGGAAATGTCGACTAGCCAATTAAAGGATAGTAAATAGCTAAAGTTCTACCTCGCCTGTGCTCTTGATTCTCTATTGCTTTTTGGCTGGTAGATGGCAAAGGCCTGGTTGATACAGGGCTCCTTCTCCCAACAGGTGCTGGAGCAGGTAAGTGGGCTGAGGCGGTCTGTACTGCTTGTTCCATGGTTGGGCTTTTTCTCAAAGGGTCTAACTGAGGGCTTGAACGACCTAGAATGTAACCAAAAGATAAGAAACTATCCTAGCCTTTCAGGATTCCAAAGTAATCTAGACCCTACAAGAAAAAGATGCCTAGAGTTTTATTTCTACTATTTCAAATTCTTAGTTCAAGTGTGAATGAATTCACCTATGTATTATGAGACCAGAGTTTACATCTGGTTATCTTTAGTGAACTGATCACCAGATTACTGTACCAGAGGGGGAAAAAAAAATTTAAAACGTTAAATATATAAAATCCAGTAGGAATTATAAAAGATCATGCTGTAGGCAAATCAAGTTTTCCCTGAAAACGACAATGACAAGATTATGTTGATACTTTAGCAATTATTATCAGATGCTTTAACTCTTTTAGGACTTTCTAAAGATGTGACTAAAAGTGTCACTTTTATATCTATAGATTTTATCATCATTAAAATTTTTATTATAAAGAAGCAAATAAAAAACTCAAACTCATTGTCCTTGAGTTGGAAGTGGCTTATAGCTGATCCTCTAGAGGGCTGTCAGGAAGCTGTAAGTTATAAAGGAGGAGACTACCCGTTTTTCTTTTCTAATGTGGAGCTGCACATTTGGGTTAGCAGCTTAACTCCCTACAATTGCTGCAAGTGTCTACTTTGTACTTAACAAATGCAATACTCTCTAACTTATGAGGTTGAAGTGTATTCACAGTACACAAAAAACAACGTGCCCATTATGTGACCCCTCCAAAATTTTTGCAATAAATTTTTGCTGTGTTCTCCTATTTCCCAACATTCCTCCAAGATGTAACATTTCCTTTAAAAATCTACTCATTTTATGTGGAAATATTCCCAAATATGTTGCAAATGTGCATTAGCTCCAAATACTGGTAAACTGGTGAGCACTTTCAAGTTATCCTGCCCCCTAACAGTAGATGAGGGGGCAGTTCAATAGTACTACTGACTAGATTTCAGATCTCTACAGTATTTATAATTACAAATTTTGCCACTGATAAAAAGAATGTAATTCTCCCACAGCTTAAAAATGGCAAATCATGGTGGTTTATACACATTTTAGCTTTTAAGGGAACATTTAAGAAGTGATACACCAGTAAAAACAAGTTATTTTTTAAAGTGTTTCATTCTATTTTATTATATTAAATTTTTATTACATTAAATATTTAAATCCATAAAACTTATTTCATTAAGGCTTTTCTTTGAGAAAAGATCCTGTGATTCACAAGTACTAGAAAATGAGTAAGGGATGGGTCAAGCACAAGCAGTAAGCTCACTGCTGTGTACTTCAAAACAAAATCGAATTTACTATTGTACTCTTATTACTTTTGAGATCAACTTTTGGTATAAATAGGGAAATAGAGGTGCTAATAGGCATATTAGGAATAAAAGGAGAAATTATTCCAGCCCTACAGAAACATACTCCTTTGAGGTATCTCTCTTTTTCACAAATTAAATTATAGCTATTTCACTTTAGTAAAGTTTGTAAATCTTAGTTGATGAAATTGAGAAGATTCTTCAATCTCTGACAGCTTTCTAAAATATATTTTTTAATTTTTTAAAAAATTAACTGTTTATTTGATGTTTTATACATTCTAGATCTTAGCATGAGGTACCTACTCTAGAGTTTTTTTCTGAAACCATCAGACAATAATATGTTTTAACATCATTTACTGGAATAGATGGCCTTTCTCCCTTGATTAAAAACTATTTTCACTTAGTTCTTGGTAGTGAAGTGCTAGAGCGCTTGGTGGTATAGTGCATAATGTGTCAGATTCAACTCCACTAGCTGCTGCTTGGGGGAGAGTCTCCTGTGAAGATTTGATTTTGCAGAGGATGGTTTACACTGAGAGCTACTATTTTAGATGTTGTGAGGATGCTAGGAATATGTAGTAGTTTGTTTTTTCCACTGTTACCAAATTCATTAAGAATTTTCAGCAGCAAATCTGGACTTATTAAGTATATTTAAGTGAATATGCTGTCTAAATGAAAAGTAATTAAATCACATATTTGTAGTAATCAGGCAACTGGGAGAAAAATTTTCAATTAAACAAAGAAAATTATAAAAGGTGATTTATAAGTATAACTTGCAAAAGCTTTTACACTCAGAGAAAGACAAAGCCTTAAGAGAATTTAGGGGGGAAAAAATCTAAAGAAAAAAGAACACACCAGCATACCTTGTGATAACTGAGGTTTTAGAGATCTTGAATCCTGTGTGAAGGTAGACCCAACGGCACTACTTTGGGATAAGGTACCACTGTTTGAAGATGCTTCTGCTCCAAAAGCTGTCAAAGAGTTTCCAGCTTTGAGAGTTAATAGTTTCAAAAGAAAAAAAAATTCCAATTATATAAAGTAGGATATTATTTTTAATGATGATGTTTATTTTATGCTCCACTGTAACATTTGTACAAATTAATAATCTAGGACATTATATAAAGTAATTATAAAGTATATTAAGGGAGCTCTGGTGGCCTAGTAGCACAAGAAACTGCGCTGCAATTCTCAAAGGCATGGGGTTTGAGCCCACCAGCTGCTCTGTGAGAGAAGGATGGGCAATCTTCTGTGCGATTAACTAGCTCTGAAAACCCACTGGAGGGTCAGTTCCAACTTGATGGTACAGAACTACAAATTACATCAAATAGCAGTTTACAAAACTTTGACAAAAGGAAGTAGCACAGATGGTAAATTCTAAACCAACATAAAAGTTCAATTATTTTAACATCAAGTATATATGCACAAATAGCTAAACAGCAGGTGTGTCTACTAGAAGTTTTCCCTGTTTCCAAGGCAACAATGGATTCTAGTTCATTTTCAGGTATGCAACTCTGTTTCCTCAACCACTGTCACTTCAGATGGTCTTGTAGACTCCATTTTTTGGGGGGAAGGGTGATGTCGAGTGGTGCTGTTCCTAATTTAACAAACTCTGGTTGTTCATATCCATCCTAAAATGGGGCGTGAGAACATAGTACAGACATTGAGTTTCAGAAACAGAGACTCCTTTGAAGGTATAATCTAGCCAGGTTGCAGTCCCAAAAAGCCCAAGAAAGGTTTAACATGGCCTTAACAACATCCTTCATAAATGTTAGGAACAGTGTTTTGGTTTTTTTTTAGCATTTCAATTGTGATCTTTATTTGAACTGTATACCTTACGGGAAAAAGAATTCCCTGGAGGTTTTTGAGTTTTGTTTTGTGTTTACTTTCTTGAGAGAAAGGTCTCTTCACTTTCAAATGAAGTAGATTGAGGCCATTTTCTAGACAAGCTTTAGAAAGCAGTCAGAAGATGACAAAAGGTGAACTTTCATGGAAACTACAAGAACAGCTGGCATTGACAGAATACGTACTGCCACCTCTTTGCTGGAGAACCTGCAGTGTGTGTGTGTCGAGGTTGGGGGTGTAGTGGACAAGTGTTTTTGAGAATTCTTTGGTCAACTGAACCTATTCAAGATCCCTAGCATTTCTGGGCAATGTCCATTATCTAAGAGTCTCTGATGATCTGAACTGGTATCTCTAATGCTGCTCTGTGTTGCTCCACTGTTTCCTTCACTCCATTTTCTACTTCTTGCCCCCTGCATTATCTATTCAATGGTTAGCAAATCCTTTTTTCCCCCCCATCTCTTTTCTGACTTCCTGGTTATATGCTACCTCCCATTCCAATTCTGCTATTGATTTGATATATAATGTATCTCAAATCAAGTATCTTTTGCTGTCCTTAGATGTTATAGAGCTGCTTCCAATGCACAGTGATCCTATGTACAAAATGGGTGCGTTTTTAATATTCTAGTCTCTATTTATTCTCATACCTATACCTCACAGGCTTTTACAAAGCTTATGGTAGCTTTGTAAAAGCTTTGTAGTCTTGAAATCAGGTGGTGTATACATATGTCAAATTTTCTTCTTTATGACTCTCTTAGCTATTCTACATTCTAGGCATTTCTAAAAAAAGTTTAGAACCAGCATGCCAATTTAAATTTTCAAATGAAGTATGATGAAATTTTGACTGAGATGATACTGAAATGGAAAGTCAATTTAGGGGACGAGACATCTAATACTGAAATTTTTTAATTCATAGAGATAGATAACTTCCCATTACTTTTAAATCAATCGTGAATAATTTATCTCATTAATATTTTGTGTTTTTCACTGTAGAGTATTCATGGTTTTCTTTTTTTTTTTTTAATTCATGGTTTTCTTAACACTGGCAACACTGACATTTTAGGTCAGACTGTTGGGATGGGAGGTTGGGGTTGTCCTGTTGTAGCTGTTAGGTGAACAACAACAGATCTGAACCCTGCCCTATCCTGTGCCATCCTAACCATCCCTGAGATATTCTAGGCCACTGCTATAGTCACTGTGCTGATCTATCTTGTTGTAGGGTCTTCTTTTCTTTAGCTGACCCTCCTTTATAAGCATGATGTTATATTCCAAGGACTGATCCTAACAACATGGCAAAAGTATGTGAGAGGAAGTTTCAGGATCTTTGCCTAGGGGGTTAAGCTGCATTCTTGGCCTCTTCCATTAGGTGGCAGTAACACAGCTTCCTCCAGTGTAACATCCAAAAGTGTCTTAAGTTGTCAAATATACCTGGTAGCAACATTTGTTATGTTACTAGCAGTACCAAGAAAAGGGATTTGTGATTCTGTGAAACAAAGTATAAAATGATAAATGATTAATGAGATTAAAAAGATATGGGTCAGAGATTGAAACCTAGAAAGTTAATTCTGTACTGTGGGAAATCTGAATAAAGGTGTATTTAAGAGTTGATGCAGAAATATAAAAATAATATAGCAGACTACATGTAGCTTTTGCATACAATGGCCAGTCAGTAGGATTTTCATTAATCTTAGCTTCCTTATACATTTTCTGTACAATGTAATGTTTCTCAGAATCATCCAAGTAAAGCACCAAGAACTCAAATATGCTGTGTATGAGCATTTTTCCACTGAGAGGTGTTAAATATGATAATTATTCATATTCAACAAAATACACATGTACTATTCCTTCACAGTATTCTCCATTAATCCTTTTTGAAAAGACACCATATGGGAGAAATGTTAATTTAAAATGGACATATGGAAATTAAGAAATATGAAATGAAATGTGATTATCAAGAGAATAGTTCTTTACAGATCCATTAGTCATAAAGAATAATAAGTAAGGCCTTTAAAAGAATAGTTACAATGGAGTCTCAACATCATAAAACTGATTTAAAGAGAAAATTACAGAAGAGACAGAGATCTCTTTTACATGTGCATGTATACACACAGCAGAAGCAGCATATACGTACCAACACCAACAGCACCAAATTGCTGTCCAACTATGGAACTTGGACTGAACTGACTGTACGTCGGCATCCTGCCAAAAGGTCCATATGAACCCACCGATTGGAATGAAGAAGTAGAGGAACCTAGTGAAGACTGAAGAGAAAATTTGAAGTTATTTTTCCACATTAAAAGCAATACAGGTACACTGGAAATAAGTGAATTAAGAAAAAGCAAATGACTTAAGATTACATCATTAACAGACACAAAAGCAATTACAGTAACTTAAAGCATGCAGTTAGTATTAAAATAGTCATATAATCTTTTTATTTCAGTATTTATATGTATGCACCAATTATACTCAATGGGATTTACAGACCTATTTTTTCCTATAATGATGATTCACTTTGAGTTAAGACTTTTATACTGTATTTAGGAAAGAACTAACAAAAAAATTACTTAAGTAACATTGTTTAAAGAAAATGAATTTTTATAATCACTGGGTTTTATACAGGTGGTTGTTGTTATGCGAGGTTGAGGAGCTTGCCACTCATAACAACCCTACGTACAAGAGCGCTAAATACTGCTCTATTCTGTGCCAACCTCACTGTCTCTGGCACACCTACTCCCACCACTCCATCCCTGAATTGATCCATCTCATCGAGGGTCTTCCTCTCCTGTGCTGACCCTCCCAAACATGTCCCTCTCCAAGGACTGGTCCATCCTTGCAACATGTCCCAAGTATGTCAGACAAAGCCTCTGAATCCTTGACTCCAAGGAGCAGCCCAGCTTCATCCTCTCCAGGACAAACCTGTTTGTTCTCCTAGCAGTCCATGGTATATTCAACACTCTTCTCCAGCACCACAGCTTAAAGGCATTAATTCTCTATCATCCTTAGTCACTGTCCAGTTCTCTGATGCATAGCCTACAATTGCAAAGACTATAGACCGGATCAGGTAGAGACAGAATTAAAACATCTCATCTGTTACTAAACTCACAAGTATGAAAAGATGGAGAAACAAACACAACCTATTTACATTTTAAAGGATATTCAGGAAAAACATATTTAGCACTAATTTTAAGAATATTTTTTTAAAAATATTAATTTACTAAAACATATATGTAAAACTAACCTACCAAACTTTATACATACCCCCCTATTTTATCTTTTTCTAAATATTTTATGACTATGAGAAGCACTAAAAGCTACTGGGATATAAGTCACTGACACCACAAACTTATCTATGTATTCAATAAATACTGCTGACCGAATGAGTAAACAGATAAAAGATTAAGGTACATGGATCTGTGCCCTCTTGGATTTTGTCTCATGTCACAAAATGGATTACAGTCCCAAGAGAACGATCATGAGACAGCATAAGATCACTAGTGTATGTTATAAAATAAATTAGTAAGTAGCTTTATTAAGAATGTCTCTTCTTCCATCAAGGAGCTCTGGTGGCCTAGTGAGTAAGGAGTTTTAACCCAAAGGTAAATGATTCAAATCCACCAGGTGCTCCACTGGAGAGAGAAGGCCAATTTCCTCCCAAGTGAAAACTCACTGCAGGGTCAGCTATGAGGTGGTTCCAACCCAATAGAAAGATCATGATCTAAAACAACTATGAGATATCATCTCACCCAAGCAAGAATAGCAAAATTTAACAGAACAGCAAGCAACAAATGCTGGTGAGGTTGTGGAGAAACTGGAACCCTTAGTCACTGCTGGTGGAATGGTGCAACCACTGGGGAAGGTGGTATGGCGCTATCTCAAAAAGTTGCAAATAAGAGATATCATTTGACCCAGCAATTTCACTACTGGGAATACACCCCAAAGAGACCATAACTGACATCCAAGCAGATATATGCACACCCATGTTTATTGCAATAAACATGTTTGTTCACAATAGCAAAGAGTTGGAAACAACCTAAGTGCCCATCAACAAATGAATGGATAGAGAAGCTGTGGTATATTCACATAATGGAATACTATGCTGCAATGAAAAACAAGGACCTCATGCAGAGTTAAGTATCTCAGTCACAAAAGGACAAATACTGCATGGTACCACTGTTGTAAAACAGGACTGACCTTGGGGTTGGGGAGAGACTGAGAAAGATGGGGTCAATAATGTATACTGCATTGAATCAGATAAGTGAGAAAACGGTTTTAAAAGGATATGTGATTAGGTATTTTTGTCATGACAGAAGTCTACAGCAAATGCTACATGGTGGAGCGGATCTGGGGGAGGGTTTGTAAAACAATGTAAGACTTTTTCTTTTACTTTTCCAAGAGGGTAGTGCACTGGGTGGAGGGTTGGGAGGGTAGAAAAGTGCAACAATGAATGAATGGAAATCCAAAGTCTCTGTAAATTTTTACTGAAATTAATAATAAATTTAAATAAACAAGAAAAAAAGAGAAAACTTAGTAGTAATAGAAAAAAAAAAGATCATGATCTTCTTTTCCTTTCCAGCATCTAAAATACTCATTTTTTTCAGTATTCTTTCAGACTTCCTCTCTCTACTTTAAAGAGGGGAGCAGTGAATAGAATTTCTCTAGGCTATAAAATAAGAATAATAAAAGTTACCACTCTTATAAAAATAAAAAGTTTATCTCATATTTTAAAAATAAATACTAAGTAGGTAAGTGTTAAAGGTATCATCTGTTACTTTACCTTCTTTTTAATTTTATGTATCAATCTGCATACTTTTTCAAAAGTGAATGAGATACTTTCTTCTAATAGGTGGAAGATAGTAAGACAAATTCTATTAAACATAATATATTAAGCATCTCTTTCATGGAAAGGAATAGCTGGGGGTAGTTTGGTTAAGCACTCATCTGCAACATGAACATGGTTTAAACCCACAATGAGCCTTGAGGGAGAAAGATGCTAGTGATGTTATGTTGTAGTTCTCCTTTGTCCTACAGGGCTGCTGATCTCGAATCTAATTAGCAGCAAGGGGGTTTTTGTGTAAGTGTGTGTAAAACCAAGACTTTTTAATAATTCCTAAGATTTTTAAAGTTAATTTAAAAGAAACCAAAAAGCATTACACTGCTGTGTAATATTCTGACAAGAAAGAGGTATCCAGGAGAAAAACAATAGGGGTCCCAGGCTTTTAATTATCTATGTCTTCAAGTAAAAATAGTCTTATGCTAACTTGACTGATTCTTTCTCTGCTATAGCTGAGATTCAAAGATTTCTATATGACTACAGCAAGGATATAAAAGAGTAATTAGTAATTGCTATTCTTTAATCCATAATTTGCTAATTTGACTAAAATAAATCTTTTAAACATCAGATTGATTTTTAATAAATACTGAAAATTTTAAAAAATGTCTTTTAGGAAATTCAATAGTTCATCTGTGTATGATAAGATTATTTTATGTCTGTGATAGCTTGTTATAAAATAATGACAGATTGTGTAATATATACTGGGACTGAGCAGTCCCCCTGCCTGTTGCCTATTAAACCTTATAATCTTACTTGAGAGCATCTATTTACCATCATGGTTCAACAAGGAACTGTATCTGACACAAATAGTAGAGAATGAAGTCAGAATGCCTGGATTCAAATTCTAGCTCACGTCAACTTATGCACGAGAATTAACTTATGTATGTACAACTGTTTCATCTAATTGCTGTCAACAACTTGTACACCTGTAAAAAGCTGAACTGACACGACTCACCACTTCTACCAAAAATAAAAGCATATGTCCCGAACGGCACCTTAACAGCCTCTACAATGCTGGTTGTTGAAATTAGCAAATTGCTTATAAGAAATCCCTTAGCTATCTTTTTTTTTTTTACACTTAGTTCCTACTTAAGATGTAGAGAAAAATCTAAATGAGAAGTTTCTCTAGGTATTCTGTAACTTGAAATGACAAGCTACCTGAACATTCAAATGAGAGAACTGGAAAATATACAATCCAAAACCCTAGGAGAGGCAAAAACCAAGATGAGTGCATCAGTTACCTGAACAATGGCTGGGTCCTGAGGCAAAGAGCATTGTGGTTTTGGTGGCTCACAAACAGTGAGATCTTTAATATCACTTCCTCGGAATATAATGTATTCAAAGACTTCATCTCGAGGTGGTATCGGTCGATCTGTTGGTCTGTCTTCTGTACCAAAGGACCGAACTGGTAAGAAAACAGGAGGATATAAGACGTGCATAGTAGGAAAAGAAAATGAGCTTTACTTTGAGCTACAAAACTCTAAAAGGCTATCTATATTACTAAGCAGTACTCTTTTTACATTTATAATTTTGATGGTTATGGTGGAGAAGGTGTTAGTAATGTCCTTATTACTGCTTTCTTTTAATAATTTGATGACGCTGGGAATATAAATAGCAATACACCGAAATTAAATTGCTACATGTACAGTTCAGTGGCATCTATTGTCATATTCCTCAAGCTGTGTCCATCCTTTTATTTGTTCCTTTTCTAAGTTGTTCTCTTGCCCTAATTCACATAAACTCACTGCTCTCAAACTATGTGGGTTTTCTTTTTTAATTGCCTCTGTCAATTTGTTTTTCAATTCCTTCAGCTTAAGAAATGCTGAGTGAGTTCAGCCCTTTTGATTTTCTGACCCCAGCTCTTTGCATATTTCATTATCATTCCTTGCTTTGTCATTCCGAGCTGCCCTTTGAAATTTTCTGTTTAGCTCTTTAATTTCTTGATTTCTTCCTTTAGCTCTGGCACTCTAAAACAATATTCAGTGTCATCTGACATCCATCTTGGTCTTTTCTTCCTCTTCTTCCTTTGTAATTATCTTTGCCATTCTTCATGGACGATATTCTTGATTATCATCCACAGCTCATCTGGTCTTTTTCATAGGTGTTCAAGGCCTCAAACCTGTTCCTGAGATGGCTTTGAAATGCGAGTGGGATAGACTTAAGGTCAAATTTTGGTTCCTATGGATTTGATTTTATTTACTTCCACTTCAGCTTGCATATGCACAGTTGGTGGTTTGTTCTACAATCAGCACCTGCCCTGGTTTTCACAGCTGATAATGATCCAAGAAGCATTAAAAGAAGATGGAAGGAAGTATACAGAGTTACTGTACCATAAGAAATTGGCTGACATAGAAGAATTTCATTAAACATATGAGCCGGTGGTGATGAAGGAGGAAGTTCAAACTGCTCTGAAAGAACTGGCAAAAAAGGCTTCAGGAGTTTACAGCATATCAACTGATATATTTCAACAAACAGACGCTGCTCTGGATATGCTAAGTTGTGCCAAGAAATCTGGAGGACAGACATCTGGCCAACTGACTGGAAGAGATTGATATTTTTCCCAATTCCAAAGAAAGGTGACCTGACAGAGTGTGGAAATGATAAAATAATATCATTAATATCACATGCAAGAAGATTCTGCTGAAAATTATCCAAAAACAACTGGAGCAACACGTCAACAGAGAATTGCCAGATGTGCAATTCTGGGTTTGTAAGAGGCCGTGGTAATAGGGATATTGTAGCTAATATTAGACGGATCTTGGGAGAAAGCAGAGAGTGCCAGCGGAATGTCTATCTGGGCTTCACTGACTGACTATGCAAAGGTGTTTGACTGTGTGCATCATAACAAACTGTGGCTGACTCTGAGAAGAACGGGAATCTCAGAACACTTGATCGTGCTAATGCAGAACCTATACTTGGACCAAGAGGAAGTCGTCAGAACGAAGCAAGTAAACTCTGCATGGTTCAAAACTGGGAAGGACGTACACCAGGGATGTGTCTTGTCTCCATACCTTTTCAACCTGAATGCAGAACAGATTATCCGAGAGGCTGGGCTCTATGAGGAGAAATGTGGGATCAGAATTGGTGGAAGATCTATCAACAATCTGCGTTATGCACATGACACAACCCTGCTTGCTGAAACTGAGGAGGACCTGAAGTGCCTGCTGAAGAAGGTCAAGGACTGCAGCCTTCAATACAGATTGAGGTTTAGTATCAAGAAAACAAAGATTCTCACCACTGGGCTAATTGGCAGCATCATTATGGATGGTGAAGAGATTAAAACTAACACTTTTAGTTTGTTTGGTTCCACAATCAACTCTGTTGGTACCAGGAGTCAGGAAATCAAGAGACAAACTGCATTGGGAAAGTCAGCTGTCAGAGACCTCTCCAGAATACTGCAGAGCAACGACATTAGGCTGGAGACTAAGGTGCACCTGATCCAGGCTATAGTCTTAGCAATTTTGTGCTATGCATCAGAGAGCTGGACAGTGACTAGGGAAGATATAAACAGAATTGATGGCTTTGAGCTGTGGTGCTGAAGAGTGCTGAATATACTACTGACTGCTAGGAGAACAAACAGGGTTGTTCTGGAGAGGGTGAAACTGAGCTGCTCTTTGGAGGCAAGGAAGGATTCTGAAGCTTCATCTGACATACTCTGGGCATGTTGCAAGGAGGGACCAATCCTTGGAGAGGGACATCATGTTTGGGAGGGTGGAGAGATAGCACAAGAGAGAAAGACCCTTATGAGATGGTTCAATTCAGTGATTGGGGTAATGGGAGTAGGTGTGCCAGAGACAGTGAAGTTGGCACAGGATAGAGCAGGGTTTAGGGCTCTTGTACATAGGGTTGCTATGAGCTGCAAGCAACTCAATGGCACATAACAACAACAACAACAACAACAACAATTATCAATTTGATCTCATACAGATCTTAAAGAACACAACAATCAAAGCAGATGATTTAGGAAGACTTCAGGGATTATTTTTGGTCTAAAGTTTAAAGACTATCTCAGGGCAGTGCTTGGGTTCCATGAGAATTCTTTTCCATTCATTCCCCCCCTTGTGATTAGCTTCTCTGACAGAATTTCTTGATCAAAATGTTCAGTAATAGTAGGAAAGCACCATCCAGTTCTTCTGGTTCCATTTCAAAAGAGCCAGTCGCTCATGGAGACCATTAGTCATAGACTGCATTTCTTTCTCATATTTCTGATTCTCCTTTATTTACTTTAAATGCTTTCATTCAGCAAAATAAACATTTGGTATCATTATGTCAACCCTCCCTCTACATATATATGCAGACATGTATATAAGGCAGTGCTGGTGGCCTAGTGGTAAGAAGTTAGGCTGTCAACCTTACAGCATATGGTTTGAACCCACGAGCTGCTCTGCTCCATGGCAAGATGGACAATCTCCTCTCTTGCAATTTAAAGGCTCTGAAAACCTGCTGAAGGGTTAGCAATGAGCTGGTTCTGACTCAACAGTATAAATGTGTATATGTATGTACGTATATGGTTCTGTTGTGTACGTTGACGTGAAATCAACTCTTATTACACTCTCCTGTGGGTTTTCAGAGGCCATTTTAAATGGTAAAAGAGACTGTCCATCATTCTCCCATGGAGCAGCTGGTGGTAGAGTCAAACTATGTATCTCTGAGTTGGCAGCACAGCTCCTTACCACTAGACCACTTATAAATGGTGGGTGGGCACAAAAGTATATTCTCTTTTAAACCCTGATCTTCACAACAGAGAAGTCAATGTACCTTGGTGAGCAACAGATCCTCTAATAATGGAGCCTAGCAACTATCAACTATACAGTCCTAACAGAATCTCTAAAATGCCCCAGTTAACTATAGATCACTGATTCAGACTTTCAAGGTACAAGATATAGAAATACACATTTTAGTCTGATTATTTTGGAAGAGTTTCTCATGAGTTCTTACTTTTTAGATTTACTGGCTTAAGAGACCTCTGGAAACATTCAAATTAACATAGAAATTCAAGTTAGGAAACTTGAGAGATCACATTGTTACTTGGTGCCACTGAATTGAGTACAACTTGTATAAACAACAAATGTGAACCCTGTCTGATTCTGCGCTATCCTCATCATTTTGGACATACTAAAGCCCACTGCTGCAGTAACTGGGTGAATCAATCTGGTTGAGAATCTTCTCTTTTGCCAGTTTTCCACCTTTCTGCATGACAGTTTTCCACCTTTCTGCATCCCAAGGGACACCATGCATGAGAGATCATATACTACCATTTAAAAAAAAAATGAGCAGAGCAATCAATATTGATTGAATAAACTAAATGAGTGGCATCCACTTCCTAAAACAACATTCTTCTGGAAACTCTAGGAACTTTGAGAAATGACGGTAGTTATAGAAAAGCTTCAGGTCTTTTGTTCATAGGGTTGCTATGAATCATGCTTTACTCATGGGCAATCAATAAAAACAACAACAACAAACTAAATAAAACCAAGTTAGTACTATCTTTAACAGATTTATACTGTCATTGCCATCGAGTTGGCACTGACTCAAAGGTGACCCTCCAGCAGGTTTTCAGAAGCTGTAAATTGTACAAGAGGAAACTACCCATCTTTCTCCCTCAGAACAGCTGATGGATTTAAGCCACATGCCTTTGAACTGTCAGTGGAACTTCTTATTCACAATTCTCACTAGTCAGTAAAATTCCAAGGAGGGAGGTGTGAATAATGATATAATAACCAAATCTTTTATACAGTCCCAACATTTAGGCTTCGGAATTTGTCCCTTTACGTGTGCTAAGACAAGCTGTCCACTTGAATTTATAGTTAGATCTTTAACTCTCACCTTAAACTAAAAATAGTTGGTTAAGCACATCATATTCCTAAGACGGTGGTGTTCCTTTGTCACCTACAGCAAGATTTCTTTTAAACACTTTTTTAGTAAAAAAATACTTTTATCATTCATATACATTTGTTTCACAGGCTTTCATTTACATTATGCTACCTATTAGTGTGGTGTTGGAGAAGAGTATTGAATATACCATGGACTGCTAAGTGAACAAACAGGTTTGTACTAGAGAGAGTGAAGCCAGGCTGCTCTTTGGAAGCAAGGATTCTGAAGCTTCATCTGACATACTTTGGACATATTGCAAGGAGGGACCAGTCCTTGGAGAGGGACATCATGCTTGGGAGGGTGGAGGAACAGTGCAGGAGAGGAAGACCCTCGATGAGATGGACTGATTCCGTGAGTGGGGTAACGGGGGTAGGTATGTCAGAGACAATGAGATTAGCACAGGATAAAGCAGGTTTTAGGGTTGTTGTACATAGGGTCTGAGTTGCAGGTTACTTGATGGCACATAATAAGAACAGCAGCAACCTATTTTAAAGAGTGTGATTGTTTTTATGTGCTGTTGAGAAAGAATCA